AACACACACACACACACACACACACACACACACACACACACACACACACACACACACACACACATATACACACACACAAACTTTACATATTGTAAACGCACAGTCATGTAAAATGAGAAAGACATATGAAATAAACATTCACCGGCTTATGGGCTGTGACGGATAGACTCCTCACCGCTAGGCTGCACGCTCATTACGTGAGTCCAATTCCCGAAAGGGGAGGAGATGTTAACTGTTTTTACTTATTAAAACAAAATTAGTTCACTTACTTTACTTTTATCCGCCGCTTATACCCTTTTGGGTGTCGCGGGAAAAAAAAAAAGACTTTGTGTTGGGATGGTTAACCCCCTGACTATCAAGCCCAACAATTTCTACAACTATAATATTGCCAGGGCTTTTACTTAAAAGCAGGTCTTGCATTGAAAGGGTTATCCTTCTCAGGCTGGGCTGGACCTGAAAGGCTTGGCTGAGGCAGCCGGCCTCCTTAATAACCCAACTTGTGTTGAGAGAGGCTTAAAACACCTACAATATTACAAATACAATTATGGTCGCTTTTAAGGACAAGCGGGCTAATCCAGATATAAGGGGTTTCCAGAAATCTTAACCTCCACCAAAAGTGGGTATTGCCCTACCTATAGGAGAAGTTTGGTTTCGTTGGTGTGTATATTTGTTAGGTTTTTAGAGAAAATTCTCCTTGTCTTTTACAAAGACTGAATAATGATCCCAAAATTTTAACTTCAATTTTCTCAAAACAGCATTTTTCGGGATAGCCCCCTTGTGTTTAAAAGCGACCAATTTCGCAACGCAAATGTAAACGATAATTAGATAATTCTGTATATCTATTGAGCAGTGACCAGGTTCCCGACATCCACCGCGCCCAGGACTCCGCCCATTGCATGCTGCGTCTCAAAATGGCGGCGTAGGTCCACCTTCCTCTGGAACGCTCGGCCACATTGCGAGCAGGCAAAGGGTTTGAATCCCGTGTGTTTCCGACTGTGTGTGATGAGGTTCGAGGATTGGCTGAAGGCTTTGCCACACTGTTGGCACTTGTGAGGCTTTTCCCCTGGAGACAGAGGGAACAAAATACAACCGTGAAACTATAAGCAGATCATGAATTAAAAATACCGCTTATCGCTTCCTTTCTCTGTCTCTCTCTGTCTTTCCTTCTCTGTCACTGTCTCTGTCTCTGTCTGTCTGTCTGTCTGTCTGTCTGTCTGTCTGTCTGTCTGTCTGTCTGTCT